TATATATATATATATATATATATATATATATAAAAGACTGTGTATATCAGTACATGTATAGTGTGATGAAAAGGTAATTATGTGGCAATTTGTAGGCAGAAAATTCAAGGGAAGACATTTAATTTACTTCAGCATAAAAAAAAAAATACTTCAAAATCAGCTACTCCCATCTTTTCTTTCTTTTCCTTTATTATCCTGATTAAGAGTTTAAAAATACAAAAATATTGCAATCTTTTAAGTTCTGAACTTATTCTAAAATAAGTTTGTTTTTTCTGGTTTGGAGATGGCAAAAAGTGTGCCTGAAGGTCTAGATGGAGCTAGATGTAATTGCTAATATTAAATTGTTTCTTCTCCTTTCTTGAGGGCATTCACTAAACTGAACAAAACATCATTGGGGCAAGGAAGGGCTGAACTCAATCTGAGGTAGTAACATGTAATTCCACCTATGTTTATTATTGAATGTGTTTGCACAATATGCAGTCTGGTGTGAACTACATGTAAAAAACTCACCAGGTGATCTTAGCTTGAATTAAAGGAACTCAGGGTTGTCCAGTTATTGGGATTAGTCATTATTGACCACTCCAAGTCTCTTTGCTTCAAGAGTATAAAATGGCATCAGTTAATATATAAAAGTGCTTAAATTTAACTAAGGCATTACCCCTTAGGATATAATCCTGACAAAGAAAGCCTTAAATCTATGTCTGCAGTTTCCCTGTTGCTCAGTAAACTGAACTGTTTGGATTAACAGCTACACTGTGGATAAACTAGTAAACCACAGTACGCCATGCCATATGGTTCCAAAGTGATGGATAAGAGGGTTACCATGAATAGTTATCAATATGGCTCAGCTTGTCATATGAATATATTCATTATAACCTCTGGAGTTAATAAAATAACTTGACATGAGAGTCAGCTGAATTGATTAAGGTTATGTTTCATGCTGAACAGTGCAGTGAAAAAAAGATCCAAGTTATGAGAAAAAGAGATTTGAGGCAAAATACTGTGGAATGTGGCATTTCCTAAATACTCTCCTGCTCAGAATACTCCTGCTTATAAGGGTGGAGAAACACACCCAACATTGATTGTCCCTTGCATCTTCCAGTGTCCCTATTCTAAAAGTTTAAAAAAATTGAAAACCAGTTTGGTCTAGTGCCGTGATGGCAAACCTATGGCACGCATGCCACAGGTGGCACGCGGAGCCTTTGGTAGGGCTCGCAAGGCATTGCCCTGTCAGCTCCAGTGTGCATGCGTGCTGGCCATCTGACTTTGGCCTTCTTTTAAGGCCATCTTTTGCCCTCCGGAGCCTTCGGGAGGCTTCCCTGAAGGCTCCAGAGTGCAAAAAATGGCTCTACGAGCAAACTGAAAGTCACTGTTCCCGAACTTCCATGTTGCCCATATGGCCATTTTTCGCCCTCTGGAGGCTTTAGGGAAGTTCCTGAAGCCTCCAGAGAGCCTCCCGAGGTGGGGCGGGGGAGAGGAGGCTGTTTTTGCTCTCCGCAGGCTCCTAGAAAGCCTCTGGAGCTTAGGGAGGGTGAAAAAAGTGTGCCAAAAGTGGGGGGAGTGCATAGCATTATGGGTGTTGGAACAGCCATGCATGACCCCTCTGTGCCCCCCTCCCCCGCTTTTGGCATGCGATCCCAAAAAGATTAGCCATCACTGGTCTAGTGATTAAGGCATCAGACTAGAAACCAGGCAATGGGAGTTCTAGTCTTGCCTTAGGTATGAAAGTTGGCTGGATGATTTTGGACCAGTCATTCTCTCACACAGTAACCCACCTCACAAGGTTGAAGGAGGAAGAAGTACTAGGTATGTTTGTTGTCTTGAGTTATTTATAAAAATAATAAAGGGTGGGATAAAAAAAATAAAATAAAACCAAAAATAAAAGGAATCCTTGATATTCTGAACCAGTGTGGGAAGCATAAAGAATTGCAGGAGGACGAAGGCTCTTTACAGAATCAGAAGCCTTACCACTGTAGATTTATACTGAAATGGCCCAATTTGAAACAGAAAGGAGAAAAAGTGGCTGTAATTCAAATGTTAAGAAATAACAAAATTTTGGCCTATTATATAATATGAATCATTAAATTACTGTAGCTGCTTTCCTGAGTTTTCAGATAACTGTGATCCTTATTTGATTATAGTCTTTCAAAGATTTAATGAGCATGGGAATCTATAATCTGCCTAGAGGAAAAGCTGTGCCTGACTGTACTTTATTGAAATCTGTAATGTACAAACATACGTACATGAAATGCAAACACAGCTGCTGTAACAAAGCTTATAGGAATTTCATTTTCAAAAAAGATGAATTGAAAAGCAGATTAAATAAGTCAACAGCTAACATTAGTCAGGCTGTACACCTATTTCAATCCGTTTTTCTTTAATCAGAAAACATCCTCTTGACTTTAAAAGATGTTAATTTGCATATTATTAGAAGAAAAATCAGACCATTTCAATTAAAGAGAAAAAAATAAATACTGGAATAATGTATTTCTGCACTGATGTAGAGCTAGAGTGGACCACTGTAGCTCAAACAGAAAAAATTCACCCCCCAAAAAACCCCAGTTTATCAATCTAAACCATGCTTTAATCTAGGATTCCAGAAAGTCAATTAAACATTGCATATGGGCATACTGACTTCCAGCTACAATCATTTATTTATACAAGAATTATGTGAAAGACAAAGTCAAGGCTAAGCAGAGATCTAGAAAAAAATATTAACCATCACATAGTATCTATGGCATTTCTGGTTTACAAAGGAATAATATATGATAGCCAACATCCAGGGGAGACTTAATTAATTTTAGAAATTTATAAGGCTGCCCCACTTGAAAAGACAATCAAACATGCTTTATAAAGTGCCCTAAGTTGTAAATTGATTTAAATTATTTTATACCCAACTAGGGCTTTGATCAAACTGCTGCAACTGTGATCTTTTGTTTTCGTAACTGCCTCAAAAAATATATGCCAAAAATTGGAATAGGGATTTTTATATATAAATTCATGTTCTTTTTTTCTTCCTGCTGGATTGGTTGTGTTTTCTTTTACCATTTGCCACTTGCACCTCTTTTAATAAGCTCCCTTCTAGAGAAACCACCGACAGATACTTCTTTAAAAATTAATTTAATTTTTTTTCTTTTTTCCATTCTCCTTGTTATTTTTAATGCCCAACCCAAGATAGTAACTTGAATTACTAGCATGCTATGGTTTTCACAGTGTATGGGAATGTGAAAGTATGGCTGTGAAAGTTGGACCATAAGAAAGGCTGAGCGCCAAAGAATTGAGGCCTTTGAACTATGGTGCTGGAGAAGACTCCTGCGAGTCCATTGGACTGCAAGGCAATCAAACCTGTCAGTCCTAGAGGAGATGAACCCTGACTGCTCTTTATAAGGCCAGATCCTGGAGATGAAACTCAACTACTTTGGCCACCCAATGAGAAGGAAAGACTCACTGGAGAGTAGCCTAACCCTAATGCTGGGAAAGAGTGAGGGCAAAAGAAGAAGGGGACGACAAAGTATGAGGTGGCTGGATGGAGTCACTGAATCAGTCGGTGTGAGATTAAATGAACTCCAGAGGATGGTAGAGGAGAGGAAGGCCTGGAGGAACGTTGTCTATGGGGTTGCAATGTGTCAGACACGACTTTGCAACTAACAACAACAAAACATGCTTGTGACAACAATCTTATCTTTTTTACACTCTACCAATCTATAGCTGAAAGACTAGCTATGTAACAAAGACTTTCAGAGAGAGCTCAGTTGTAGTTTAAACCTGCTACTTTTAAAAATCTCAAATCAAGCCTTGGGGGACAGAGATTGTAAAACAGGAAATGGCAATATAAGAAAAACTGATGGATCAGGGAGACAGCTGTCAGACTTCTTTCAGTCAGACTTTTTCCTATGGTTATTCAAAATTGATACAAATGTTCAATACATAAGAAATTGAAATATTTTTTGCAAGATTGAATGAGTCTTGGCAATGGTGTATAATGAGAGATAATGAAGTTTCCCAGAATTTTCAAAGAACCTTCACATTTTCCTTGTTTTTCAGCTGAGAAAATTCAACAAAGGAAACCTAAAAAATTGAACGTGACCTAATAATCTGTTGCAAATAAAAAAATGAATGTTTCTCTTTTTAAAATCAGTCTCCTTATGGTTTTTCCAAACACTAACAACAAAAGAAGCTGTGCTTAAGTTAATAAATTAGCAAAAATTAAATTATCTTCTCATCTCAAACTGTAGTTAACACGCCAGTTAACCTTTTCCTTTCTGACATACTCTCCACAAGTCTGTATTTTGTTTTAAAGTGAAGATGGAGAATTTGCCATCACTATTTATCTAATTAAAATGAATTACAGGGAGAGAGAGAATATTGTATTGTTCATTCTTTGGTTTTGTTATTATGGAAAGTAGAGAGCTTTTCTGGAGGGAAGTCTTTGTAATTGAAGGCAAGTGGAAGAAAGAAAGCTTTTGTTCAGTGATAATCTTTGAAGATTATTTTTGTAAAGTTTTTTTTTCTTTCCTGCAGAAAGGAGGTAAAATTCTACTTCTTACCAAGTTTAGTCCAGCTGATGGTGTTTGGCTGAAAGCATTTCCTATTGGGATGAAGCTGCCTGTGAAAAGATAAAATGGTGAAACTTTTGCTTGTTATCCCCTTACTGTTAAATCAATGCTTTTATTTTTTTTAAAAAACTTGAGAGTGAGCCACTACACAAAATCTTAAATAAAAACCATCTGCTTTCACTCCCATCTTTACTTACTTCAGTCAGGAACAGTCGGAGAGTTTATCTAATAGACCTGACACAAGGTTAGCTAATCCAGTATTTCCATTCAAATGATTTGGAGAAATGGCACAAGAAAATCCCCACGTAGTATTACTTAGAAATATCGTTGCTGAATTCATCAGTCATCATTTCTTGTTTAGTCCAGTAGGAATTTACTCTACAACTTCATTTCAAGATTGCACTGGAGCACTCATTTTATCTTAAAGAACAGGTATAAGGAATTCAATGTATTATCTTTGATCATATGACATCCTGGCTCGATTCGTCTTGCTCTTTAATTCCAGCCACGTAGAATACATTGCTCATTTAACAGCTTTTTGCATTTATTATTCTAGTGGCTATTAAGCTCACAAACCTTTTCAATAAGGCAGGGTGCTGCTTTTTTTTGCAACTGGCAAGTATATATCTCTAAGGAAGAAGGCACATTTAAAAGAAACATTTTTTAAAAATGGAGAATCTTTTGTCCCAAAATAATTTCCAAAGGTTAGTCAGTGAGACCCAGAAAAACTGTTGTGTAGTGGTTTGTGTTGACATAGGACTGTCAAAGAACCAGATTCAATAGTATAAGTGCCCTGAGGAGAATAGATACATCTATTCTCAGTAGTGGAGATAATGAGGGACTGATAGATAGACAGATAGATGATAGATAGATAGATATAGAGATAGATAGATATAGATATACATACATCTACATATACTTATACACACATACATACATATTGTCAGGAACAAGATTCCCCAATCTGGTTCCCTCCAAATTGCTTATTTACAATCATGAATGTGCCTCGTGATTCTAACTAGCCAATTGTTTGTTTTAAAAGTGCTTTTCAAAAAGACAACTTGGACTTAAAGTTCCCTGAAGAAGCTTCTGGGATGAGAAGGGAAAAGTTTTCAAAGGAAAAAAAATCCAAGAAAGTCCAGTTGCTTTTTGGAAAAAGCCCCTTTGAGACAACCATGACCTGATGATTGAGAATCTCCATAGACCAGAGGTATCAAACTGTTGGCCTGCAGGCTGGATGCATCACGTGCAGGCTGCGCCCACCCCAGCTCCGCGAAGGGAAAAACATTGTGAAACATCACGTGGTAGCAACATGCCGCCTTGTGTTTGACACCCGTGCTGTAGACATTCAGCTAAACTGTGTAAAACAATGTAAACATAATAATAAAATAATGAAATTCACTACTCAACTCCCCCCCCCCGCCAAAGATTACTATTTTGACAGTCTTCCTATATATCAGCAGGGAGGGGGGGGGGGCTTTGGGAAAATGTCATTCTCCAGGCACCCAGCTCCCTCTCTCAGGAAATGACAACCCACAAGACTCCCTTGTGCAAGCAGATAGGTTTAAAAGGTAGTGAAGATCCAATCCAATACTGTATAGATTTTATGGGTAAAAACCAGCAACTTGAACTTGGCCTGGAACTTTTCTGGCAACTCATTCAGCTCCCACAGCAAAGGTGTTATTGTTATGGTAAATAGGTTGGCACCTGTCCATAGATAAGCAACCATCTTTCATGCTAGCTGCTACTTCTGGATTATTTTTAAAGGATGTTCCCAAGTACCGCAGTAGTTTAACAAGACGCTAGTAACAAGGGCATGAGCCACAATCTCAAGGGCCTCTTGGTCCAGGAAAGGCCACAACTGCAGATGTAGCAGAACTTGGATAATCTTTGAGGTTTTGCTTTAGTTAAAAGCTCTAAATATTTTTTTCTTTAAACTAGGCCATAGTGTTCAGTTCTAAATAAAACCCGATAGCAACTGAAACAACTTAGTGTAAAGTCATGAGAGTTAAAAGTTTAGCACATTCAGATAGCATCTGGTTAGGAAGGATACAGTAAGCCTAACAATTAAAACAATCAAATAACTAAACACTTTAATACTAATCAATATCCAACAGATCAAAGAGAAAATATAATAAACAGTGTTGCCTGAACATAAAGGCCAAGAGTTTTAACCTGTAAAGCAATGGAAAGAGCTGCTTTGGGGTCTCATTCTATATCAGGGATGTCAAACTGATGGCTTGTGGCCTGCATGCGTCACACACAGGCCATGCACAGCTTTGCAAAGGGGAAAAACATCACGGAATGTCACATGACACCAACGTGACGTGTTGAGTTTGACACCTGTATTTTATATAGATTCATATTTCATGAGTTTTACACCAGCCTATAGTAATGGCTGTAATGTAGAGTCAGGCCAGCTGCTGCCTATAATGTTTTGGATTTTAATTCTGCCAGCCCTAGCCAATTTGGGAAGAGATCCTGGGAGCTGAAGTTCAAAATATCTGTAGAGTAGCAGCTTGTTTACCATGTGATGGTGTCTAAGTACAAACATATTAAGAGATAGTGATTCAGACATACAGGTTTCAATCTGCTCTGTGGTTTCTTATCTTCTCCCAATGATCAGAAATTAACAGATCAGATGGGAATATTCCACTGTTGCCATTTAATACTTTAATGTTTAGACTATCATATTCATTCTCTCCATGATAACAAAGGATATCATGCCCTTGTTCATGATATTCTTTTCATCAAGCACAATTAGCAGTTTCAGCAGGTAAGCAGCTCAGATGTAACTGAGTGGATACTACACTGGTGTGTTATTAAGTGGGTATTATGAAACAAAACATAAAATCCTGGGTTAAAAAAATAGAAACTACTGATTTAAAAAACCCCTGTAAACAAAGCAAGACCAAACCTCAGACAAATTTATTTTAAAGTAGTTTCCCATTCGTTCATTCAAATCTACATTCAGGTAGCTCCATATTCAGTATTTGCTAACATCTGTATGGACATCCTTCAATTAAACGCTGTGGGTGATATCAGCTCATTAGTTGCCTGGTTTCCCAACTGGTAGGAGTTTTTAGGTTAAGATTATTCAGGTGCACTGGCAGGGATCCATGGGAAAGCTTACAAACTCTCCATCTGCATTTTGCCTACCTAAGCCAATGGTATTAGTCACCCTCATAAGAAATTTCCTCACAAGTATTTTAAGATATATACTGGAAGATATATATGTAATTACATGGCATCACCTCAAAGAACTAACTTGCCCACAGACTTACAAATTCAGCATGGGAGTAGCTTCAACATTAGCAAGGCAATATATGTTCTAGAATATTAGGTTTATATTATTAAACCTTTTTATTAGGAATATTAGGTTTTTCTATCATACATATTTCTTGATTTGCTATGGCCATCTTGCCATGGCCAACTCATGTGGCCAACTCACTGTTGACAATTCCTTGCAGGATAGCTCAATGTGATAAATGTTATCATCCACTATTTCTTTGACATTATTTCCATTTTTGTCAATGGAAATAATGTCAAAGAAACAGTGGTGGATAACATTTTATCATGTTGAGTTATACTGCACAGAATTGTCTGCGGCGAATTATCCCGCAGCAAGTTAGCCACAGTGAGTTGTCCTGTGGCTAGTTGGCCACGGCAAGTTGTCCTAGACCCCAATAAAACAGAGGATTGTCCACTTTAAAGATTCTGCACCAAAATATAAGAAGCATAATGTAGTGTATGCAGTACAGTGAGGTAAGGTAAGGTGTGTTTAGAATTCTACACTGGAGAAACCAAGCAGTCTTTACACAAGAAGAGGAAAAGCAATGCCACAGGATCAAAATCAGCTGTATACCTTCAATTAAAAGAAAAAGAACACTCTTTTGAGGACCACAATGTTCACCATTTTGGACAGGGATGTTTTGAGAGGAGTGAACAAATCTATTTATGCTAAAGTGAACATCTTCCCTCAATAGTTGCACGCCTTAGACAAAACCTGTTCCTCATTTTTTTTATGCTACTCTTGCAGGGAAATCAAGACCACTTCACAGGTTCACTAGGAAGGTCACACTTAACAACCAAACTAAGAGAAGGATTTAGAGTGAGGATCCCTTAATGACTCTCTGCTTATCACCTAACGAGTCTATTCAGATTAGGTGAGAAATGAAACCACCTTGGAAGACTTATATGGAGCCTTCCTAGCCAATCTGTTCAGACTGAAGAAGCTACTTGGATAAGCAGTGAAACATTTCAAAGAAAAGAAGTCCAGTTGCCCTGACTCAACTTCCTGTCTAATTGGAGATCTATTTTTTTAACATATGGTATAAGCATAGGTTTATTTGCAATGATGGTGAATATCTATAGCTTGGGTGTAGTATGAGAGTGGAGTTCATTCTCCAAACCTATGGGTTGGTTTCAAATGTTTCATTTGGAAACCAACCCACAAGTTCGGAAAAATGTTCGGGTTCCGAACATTTTGTTACCAGGCTTAGTAACCTCAGTGTTAAACTCCACTGAAGATGTTGCCTAGTCTGGCAATGAAACGAAAAGATGATGGAAAGCTGCTTTGAACAGAATGAAAAGAATGCTACAAAGTTGTACGAACAACTTGGTCCATAAAAAGGGATAAGGGGATAAAACTAAGGGGATAACAGCATTTAGACATTTATTACAATTCCCACCCCAAGTCTTTCTCTCTCCCCCCCCCTCTCTCTAACACACACACACACAGAAACAGAGTGTAACACTGCTTTTGTAATTTGAATAAAAGTAACAAGTTCTTGCTGATGCCACAACCACAGAAGGATGTGGAATTATACTCATCTGATGTGTGAAAAAGGATGATTAGTGGGTTAGAAAAAAATGCACATAAAACATAATGAAATGCATTTTATAATGTATAGCCTGAGAAAAAGAAAAAAAATGCAAAGATAGTGAAAGAGAGAAAAGAAATGGCTAAGATTAAAAGAGAAAAAATGCAGAATGAAATTGTAAGAAATAAATATTACAATAATATTCTGAATATGTGTGAAGAGGGCTA